TAAACCTGGTCAAATGTATGCCAAACATGCTGGACCTCATTTGATCATATTGGTTAAGGCTCCATTTCAAGTCATTTGGCAAACATCTTACAGTTTTGTGACATTTTGTGAGCAATGTTTGTTTTCTTCTTGGACAAAGCCACATTCATGCAGTCTCTTTTCACATTTGTCTCAAACTGTCAGCCCATTCTGTAAAGCATAATGGCTACACCTCACGATCATTCCGCTACAGGAGAAAAGATAACTGTGGTTTGTTTGTGTTTCTTTAAGCCAATCATAGTCGTCGTAGGCAGAAAAAAAGCAGTGGCTTCATGCGTCCTTAAAATAGTGACTGAGGGATTGTTGTGGTAGAACATTTGCACAGAGGGAGGCAAACACTTTAATTAAAAATGGATAAGTGGCCCAAAACCGCTAGCAGGGTTGACTTGCTGCACCATCCAACACTTCAACCAAAGCTTTCCTTGGGGTAGGTTGCTGCTTGGAGGCTGTTTTTTGTTGTTTCTCATAGCAATGCAAAATGGTAACAGACAGATAACACAAGGGAAGGACAAAGCCACCTGGAATGAGCGACCAATGGTAGCCTTATACACACTTTCTACATCTGGTGAGTCAGACGGCTTTAAAACTGTCTAAAAGCGGTTTCTATCGATCATCGTTGTGCCAAGTCAAAAGCACTTACCATCTGGTTTTCAATGCAAGGTTCCAAACACTGCAAATACATATTTACAACATATTTATAACATTATTTTTCAATGATGGCCAACATATCATCTTTAATGGGTGCATGGTTCCTTCTATGCCTCCCAGCCAGTGCTGCTGCAATTGGGTTTTAGCTTATGTTCAATGCACTACTGATCCTCTTGGAATGTATTCCAACCCTTATCAGACACATTTCAAAAGTGTAACAATCAAATGTAAAGTGGATGTTTTTTTTGTTTTTTTAAAGCATGTTAATATGACTTTATTCATTGAAGAACTGGGCATTTGCGTTTATTCAGTTCAACAATATGTCTAATGTTGTCATTCCCAGAATAATCACTGTGGCACACTTGTAATCATCAACTATCAAGTGTGACTCACCAGATGTAGATTGTGGGTATAAGGCTGCCATTTGCAGTGCATTTCAAATGACTTTCTTCTCCCTTTCCACTATCTGTATGATATTGTTTTCAAAATCCTGCTCTTTACAGGAAACAACTACAACAACCCCCAGACAAGCAACCTACTATAAAGAAAACTTTGAGTTTGCTGGGGATTTGAATTGTGCAGTAAGGCAGGTGAATTATTCCTCCCTGCAATCAAATGTTTCACTAAAACACAATTCCCCCGTCTCTCCTTTGATTGTACACCATTGCTGCATCTTTTGCTTCAGTCAACCCAATACAGTCGTGATTGGTTTGAACTGATACAAAGCAGGTGGTGCACTTTTTGTTGCCATCGCAGAATGATTGTGGCGCAGCCAGACCGCTCTGTGCCACAGAATGGTCTGGCAATGTAATCACAATCAAGTGTTTCTAAATTAAAGCCCTTAAATGAAATCAGTCCACTAATATGCTGAATTCAATTCACCTCATTAATTAACATTCCTTTTTCAGCATTGTACTTGACAGAATGCACAGTGTGTAGCTACCACTAGACAAGCACAGTAACATGTATTCACTCAGTCAGCAGTTCTTAATTTAATGTTTGTCATTGACAGGGTCTGTTGGATCGGTTGATCTGTTTCGTATCAGGGACAATAGAAACATTCAAGTCATACAAGCTTCACAAGGAAACAAATCTTCCTCTATGGTTTCAGCTCTACTTATGTGCAATGGAGTTTCAAATGACCACATTTGCAATTTCATTGTTATGGGGCTCCGACTGCAGTGACTTGATTTGCTCTACCACACTATATAATCTGCATATCAATTTCCACACAGTGAGTGCCATTTTTTTATTTTTTTTCATTCCTTGTATGTGTAGGCACAAATGCTGGTATTTGTGGTAATAGTTCTTGCTGGGGAACAATAGCTATGGGCAGGCTGGGGAAATTGTTTCCACGTGCACTGTTTGTATGTGTGCACCTCCACCTCCTGCTGGAGTCACTTATTCTCTCTGCATGCAAACGCTTTGTTGGTTGTGATTTACCTGCTTTTCTGTGGTAGATTAATTATTTCCTACAGTGACTGTGTTTGACAACTGATAACCAGCACAATCAGACAGACGTCTGCTGTAGGCAGCTGCATGGGAGCAGATACAGAACATTCTAAACACACATAAAGGTGCAGTGTGCATGGAGGTTTTATTGCAGGTACACAGTCCTATCAAAACATGGACATTATTGACTTTTTTTGATGCATTTGGACAAGCAAATGTGGTATACTTGCATGGTAACTTAGCTTTTTTTTAATAATTCATTCAGCAAAAAGTGTCAATCGATAAAATGTCTTTCGGTGCAATAAGTAAGCACACCCTTGATCTTAAAAGTTAGAGCTGCCCTTTTAGCAGAAATAACCTACATCATAATGAAAATATGTCACAATATTTTACAAGAAATGTAGAATAAGAATAGAAAAATGTTCATTTTTTTGTTTTTAATTTAACAACGTTTGTGAATGTGACCAAAATTGACAATCTTTGGCACGAGGCCTTATAAATCTAATGAGCCACATTTGTACACACGTGCTACAAATAGTCACCTGCATTCAAACACTCTCCATCTCCGTCTCCAGCTGGAGTTTGCTGGAGCCTGTGATGTTGGGCTATGAATGGGAAGGCAGCAAGGTGGTTCGATATTAGCTTATCAAGCGAGCCCAGGCTCTGTATTTGATTGCCACTGTATCCTCGCACCCCGTTCTAATTACATGCAAATCTTCTGGAGGGTTTGTAGGAATGAGTGCGTGTG